GGGGCTCCACCACGCCTCCAGCCGGCAGCCGTGTCTCTCCGTGTCGCCTGCTTTGGACCTCCGTCCTCGACTCGACTCGAAATGGACCCCAACTGCTCTTGCTCCACCGGTAAGGAACCCCCTGCTCTGAGCCTTAGGGAGGCACGCTTCCCAGGCCCGGAGCGCGTGTCCTCGGGGTTAGAGGGGCGGGGGTTTGGAGCTGGAGCTGGAGCTGGAGCTGGAGGAGACTCCCGGAGTCAGCACGTGCTGTGCGTTGTCCCTGGCCAAGCTCCGGAGAGCATTTCCGTGCCTCGAGTTTAGAGTTGAGGGTACTGCGGTCACGTCGAGGTCTCCTGTTGGTCGGGGGCTGCTGGCCTGGGACTTGATGGCAGGTGGGGACATTGTATCCTCGGGGTTCAAGAGCTAGGGCCCTGGCCCCCAACCCGGCCTGCTTGGGCTGAGCCTGGAGCCTGGGACCCTCCTTGTGCAGTCCAATCTGGAAGGGACCTACCTTCCCTAGCATCAGAAGAAAGTGGGGCTTCCCTTAAGGACCTGCCCTGGGTGAGAAAAGGGCTCCCAGGGCTGGGCAGTGACAGGAGGCTGGAGATTGGGGCAGCTTGTTGGCCGACTGCTGTGGCTCCCACATCACTCTCCTGCTCCCTGCTCCTCCTTCTCTCCCTTGCAGGTGGCTCCTGCACGTGCGCCGGCTCCTGCAAATGCAAGGAGTGCAAATGCACCTCCTGCAAGAAGAGTGAGTGTGGTGGGGTGTTTTGTGGGGATCTGGGGACCGGGCTGGGTGGGCGGGGGGAGCCCAGAGCTTGGCAGGCGGGAGCAGGCCAGTGACCCAGCCTCTCTGCATCCCCTGCCCTGAGCCCCTGCCTCAGAATTGGAGCCGAAAGAGCATGTAGGTGATCTGAGTTCCAGCCTCATCCTAGAATAGGAAGACTAAGGCCCAGATCTAGGTCTCCTGCCTCCTGATGCAGCCTTCTGAACCCTCCAGTGTCCTGAACACCTGATGTACATGAGCTTGGTGACCGTGTGTGGTTTCTCTGACCTGCTGTAGCCCTTTCCTGTGGGGACAGCCCAGAGCTTCCGTGCCCCCCCGCCCCCCGGGAGCTGCTAGGCAGGGGGCACCCCCTCTCTGATCTTGAGGACTTTCTATCAAGATGTATGGTTCTGGGGGGCCTACATTGTCCCTGGACGCCCTGTCACTGTGTCGCCAGGCATTCTGCCCTGGGCTGGAATCAGATGGGGGCAGGGCAGCCTTCTCCCAGTGGGTAGGACTCAGTTGTCTAGAGACAGCCTGCCATCAAGCCAGGGTCCGCCGAGGCTGGGGGCAAGGCCTGGGCTGGCCTGCTCTTAGGAAGGGGGGTCCCTGGCCATGTCTGCTCTGACCCTGTGGCCTTCCTGCCCCAGGCTGCTGCTCCTGCTGTCCCGTGGGCTGTGCCAAGTGTGCCCAGGGCTGCATCTGCAAAGGTGCATCGGACAAGTGCAGTTGCTGTGCCTGATGTGGGGGAGCCTGCGCCCGATGTAAATACAGCCACGTGAACACACCTGCAGTTTTTTACTTTTCATGCTCCCCGGACCCAGTTGCTACATTCCCGTTTCTATGAAATCTTTGAATGACAATAAATTTATATCTAGACTCTTCTCGCTCCAAGTGTCAGGTGGTGTGTTGGGAGGATGGGACTTGGTTCTAATTGGGCTGCAGGGGAAAGTGGTTTGGGGGAGGTTAGGGGTGGGGTGGCCATGGGAAGTGGGGGCAGGGCAAGGTTCCTGGGGTCTGGCCTGGTCCACCTCCTTGAGCTCTTGGTTTTTGACTCTTCTTGGCTTAGCTGTGACAGGGTTTCCTCCGCCACCTAGAGAGTCCCCGCCCTTCGTGTGTATCTGTTCACTGCCTGTATTCACTCAATAGCCACCTACAGAGTGAATGCCTATGTAGGCATTGGGTTCTCGGTGTTGGGGTAACATGGTGCCTCCAGACTGCTAAGGAGAGATCATTACTGAGTGGAAAAATCACAGTGGCTCTGACGGAATGCTGTTGGGTGAGCCCAAGTGAGGAGACCTCGCAGGGAGAGCTGCATCCCTGTCAGAGGGGACAACTGGAACAATGACCCTGATGGGGGTCAAGGGTGGGCCAGTGTGTAAGGGGATGTTCTAAGGTCACTTTGCAGAGAAGAGAACAGAGACTGTGTGTCTCATTCATCTGCCTGACTTGCGACCTGGTTGCACTCTAAATCACTTGGAGAGGTCGAGAGTGCCACATCACGGTCCCGTTTTCCCCTTCCTAGCCCCCATTCTGATTTCTTAGGTGTAAGATGGGCCAGGGAACCTGGGTTTTAATAAGTACCTAAGGTTGCCATCCACTGAGGCGGTCACATGGAGCATTTAGTGAAATGAAATGAGCCTCTGCCAGGAAATCTTTCCATCCCGGTTGGAATTTGAAGCCAACCCCCCCAACATATGACTGCCTGAACTGGGGGCCTAGGGAACCTGGAGGTACCTGGTTCCTTTCAGATGACGGGGGTGGGGGGGGAGAGGGGGGGCAGGCCTCGCCCTGCAGGATGTGGGAAGTGTCTTTGTAGAGACCAAATCAGACTGAAAGGGTGGCCAGCCCCCTGGGGGCTCATACTATGCAAACCTTACCCCAGTGTGACTGGGCTGGTGTCCCCGCCACTGTTTCCCAGGGAGAGCCTGGCCCAGACCTTGTGGCTCTTGGGCAGGAGTGTGGTATGCTGTCGCTCTGTTTGGTGCCATGTCACAAATGTGCCCAGAGATTGCACAACCCTGCTTTTGGGACTCACAGCTGCCAGTTCTCTCCGTGGAAGGGTACAGCATGTTTTCATTTGGCCTGACAAACACCGTGATCAAGCTTACAGCTTTTTATTTTTATTTTTTTAAAGATTTTATTTATTTATTTTGACAGAGAGAGAGACAACGAGAGAGGGAACACAAGCAGGGGGAGTGGGAGAGGGAGAAGCAGGCTTCTCGCGGAGCAGGGAGCCTAATGCGGGGCTCGATCCCAGGACCCTGGGATCATGACCTGAGCCGAAGGCAGACG